GAAAGCTCTCCTATAATTGCTGGTATCTGCAGTTGCAGTGAGTTCAGTGGAAAGTTGACATAAATAGCAGGAAAGATTTGTCAGGCTTGACAAGATCTGAGCATTCATTCTGCCTCACCGGCGGGCCACAACAATAGGCTTGAAAATTGTTATGAAGTTAATATCACATGGATTAGAGCAGAAATAGTGACAGCTCTTTAAAATCTCCCTCCCCAAATCAATTTCAATCTGGAGGTGACTTCTAAATCAGTGGTCACCAACCAGTAGGCCGGGGATCACTGGTGGTCCGTGAGAAATTTTTGGTGGTCCACAGGGAAATGTTACCCCCCAAAGCATCCCCCAAAGTAGTTAATCCAGGGTCTGCGCGAACACAAGGCTGCGCTGCCCACATGGCCCGTGGGAACACAAGGCTTGTGTCACTTACATTGCAAACAACACAAGGTAGTGGGGGGGGGGGAAGGGCTGGGGGAACTTGCCCCACTCATCCCACGCGCCTGGCCTGGCCTGGCCACCAGACTGCTTCTTTCCACTTCTTTCTTCTTCTGCTTTTGGCTGCATGCAAGGAAAGCAGCAAAAGTATTTCTTTCTCTCCCCCAAACTCTGCCACAAATGAGTCTTTGGGACCCTGCAAGGCATCCTGCTCCAAGAGGCTGTGCTGGCACGGCAAGTCTCACAAAGACTCATTTCTGGTGGGAGAGAAAGAAAGACTTCTGCTGCTTCTGCTGCTTTCCTTGCATAAAGCCAAAAGTCTCTCTCTCTCTCCCCCCACCCCACCCCCCGAAAATGCTGGAGACAATATCTTGTGATCCCAAATAAAGAATGATCGATTGGTAGGAAAACGGGGTGGGGAATTTTCCTGCAGAGTTTTTTTGGGATTTTCCCAGGGTGTCTGGTCCCCAGGATTTAAAATTATGAGTTTGGTGGTCCCTGAGGTCCAAAAGGTTGGCGACCCCTGTTCTAAATCATACTTGATCAAAAACTGAAATGAAGTATTATTTATGTAAGGAAACTGACTCAGACAATACACTGTTCACAAAGCATTTGTGTATGTTAAATGAAAATGTATAAATAAACTGATTTTTTTAAAATGAGCATTTGATAAAGATTGCTTCCTATGTTTAATATTTGATGGCAGCAATGTTATATTGCTAGGTATACGAAGACATTTCTGTAAGCAACATGAACTATAATTACAGGATATCTCGACTACATATCAACTACTACCCAAGACTGACATCAAATATCCAAGTTAAACATGAAAATCAAATGTAATTGAATATAACATATATTTGGAGAACATTCAGCAGAAGAATTCCTCAAATGAAAATGTTTAATTTCAATTCTTTTATTTTTTTAAAAAAAATCCCCAGTGATTATTTTTCTTTTAATTTTTTTTAAAAAAATATACGTCTCATTTTAATTTCTGTAAGTCAGAGTCACACTGGTGAGGTAGGTGGCTATAGAAATCCATCTAAATGAAATGTTCTTTTAGCCATTCTGATCATGACAATGCTACTTTTGTGGCATGGGACATTTATTAAGAGGCTTCTGTGCCTGCACTGTGGAATGAATAAATAACTGTAATATTGCAGAGATAGAAAATGTTACAAGGGAAAAGACTTGAATTAAATGCCAGCTTCGTGCAGATGGTTCCACCAAGGATTTGCCTGAAGATTGGCAGACTTTCAGCTGCTCCAGACCTTTCGCTGCTCCTGAATTCCTTCCAGATATAAAAGTCACATCAACAAACAGGTCCCCATCTCCATCTTTCCAAGATGAAGAAAAATACAGGTAGCCCTCAACCATGATCACTCATTTAGCAATTGTTCAAAGCTACAATGGAACTGCAGAAAGTGACTTAGACTCAATACTCTCATTTATAACTGTCACAGCCATCCTGTGGTCAGCTGATTGTGACTTAGTTGCTTGGCAACCAGCCAGTGTTTATGATGGTTGCAGCATCCTGGGGTCACACACTACTATTTGCAATATTCCCAGTGGGCTTCCAACAAGCGAAGTCATGGAAGCCAGCAGAAGGTTGCAAGTCCCTGCCAAAAAAAAAAAAAAAAGTTTGTAAAATTGGATGTGATCATGTGATGTAAGGTGTGTGCAGAGGCTCGGGGAGGGCAAAAAACGGGCCTCCCAGAAGTTTGGGAAGGCCAGAAATTGGCCTGTTTTTGGCTTCCAGAGAGCCTCCGGAGCCCGGGGAGGCCATTTTTGTCCTCCCAGAGGCTCAAGGAAAGCCTCCGGAGTCCAGGAAGGGGGAAAAATGCCCCCCCCCCTGCCGTGATGCAGGAGAATGACTAGGCCATGCCCACCATAGCCACGCCCACCCAGCAACAGGGCAGAAAACCCGTTGCTAAAATTTTGGAAGCCTACCCCTGGTCCCAATTATCCTAAGTCAGGGACTATCAGTATTGACATGCGGATGGGTGACCCCTATAACTGTCTGGTTTGGCAGAGCAACCAAACAAGACAGACACAGACTTCAATGGATAGTTAGATCTGCAGAAACAACCATTTCAATGAGCCTGCCTTTCATTGAGGAGCTGTATACTGCATGGGTCAGAAGGTGGGCTGAGAAAGTATCTACAGATGCTCACATCCTGGACATAAATTGTTTCAATTCCTCCCCTCAGGACAGTGTTACAGGGCATTGCATGCCAAAACAATTACACACAGAGACAGCTTTTTCCCCCCTTGTGCCATCTCTCTGCTGAACAATTAATTCCCACAGCACTGTCTTATGCCCTGGGATGTCAATCCACCCAGTAGGGCTGTATTACTTTTACTATTATCCTCATCTTTTCTATTACCTATTTCCTTAGCTTCTTATTACTATAATTTTGGTGTTTGTATCTCATGATTTATGTTGATTGCTTTCATTCAGTATCTTATTTATGTTGATTGATTATTTAGTATCCTATGACTATCACTGAGCGTTGTGTCTTATAATTTATGATTATTTTATGTTATGGTTATGATCATGATTTATCACTTGTTGTTTGTTGCTAAGAGAATATGCACCAGAGATAAATTCCTTATCTGTCCAATCACACTTGGCCAATAAAGAGTTGAAATCAATTCTACTCTACTCTACTCTACTCTACTCTACTCTACTCTACTCTACTCTACTCTACTCTATTCTACTCTGCTCTATTCTGCTCTACTCTACTCTACTCTACTCTACTCTACTCTACTCTATTCTACTCTGCTCTACTCTACTCTACTCTACTCTACCCTACTCTACTCTACTCTACTCTACTCTACTCTACTCTATTCTATTCTACTCTATTTTAATCAACCCATTCCATTCCAGATATTACTAGTATAGTTTGACACCCCTGGGTTAGGGTTAGGATGGAACTACCTTAACTGAGATTCCTGTCCTGAGCAAGGGTTGGATTGTATCACCTCCAGTTGTAGGATTATAGGATTCATATTCCTAATTGCCTCCAGATTTTCCCCAATAAAAATTCCGAGCCAGGTTCTACCTTCCGAGATGAACATCAAAGTAACATCTAGCTTAAATAAGATCACCCAACAATTCTCTAAAGGCTTTGCATATTACAACTTGCCCTCTTTCTTCCCCCCTCCGACATCTAATGTTGATCAACTATTTAAAAGTCATCCATTTGTGGGCATTTAGAGTTTGGAATTTGCATCAGGGAGAGAACATGTTAATCGGCAAGGCAGAAAATGGTTTTATAAGACTCTGTGAATTGTATGGAAGGAAACGGAAAAAAATTAAGACGAAGATGGCCTTCAGTAACGAGCGTTGGTTTTAATTATTCATTTCTCTCATGTTTCTGAGAGGAAAGGGCACAACGTGATTAATCAATTGAGAAAGGCACTTTGTGAAAAGGTTTAGAGGTTCATTTGGTCTTATTGCCTGCATTTCTCTTTGGCCAGCCTTTTTAATCCCCCAGTTGTCAAGGTAAATTTAAAAATCACCTCAGTGCTGTTTTCTCCTTTTTCCAATGTAGATTTAAGGGGTGATTTTAAGGAGTCATTTCTATCACTCTCTCTAACATGTCTGCCCTGGTGTTTATGCAAATCAAAAGTAGAGGAGAATGAAATCTTTATAAATCATTGACTGACAAATTGTTTTATATAGAACCCATGGTTTTGAAGAATAAATCTTATCTAATTTATTCCACATCATTTTCCCCACTCTCTAATCCCTCTTAATGTGATTTGAAACCAATCTGCAATTATCTGTTGCCAAGACAATCAGGACCCATTCTTTCTGTATTGACCAATAGGAGATTGAAGAGAAAGTCATCCAGGCTCCATCATTCATAGCATTGCTGATGTTGGAATAACAAAAATCCATTTCCCCAACTCCACACAAACTGGAAATGTCATAAATACCAATCCCTGCTTACTGAGTTATTTTGCTCAAATTTATCATGGGTTGGGGTGAGTTCTGAGTAGTTGCTACGAGGAGTTTTCCAGATGTAAAAACTATGTGTTAGGGCTCCGACAAATTCACCCCCATTCAAATTATAAGTCCCTAGCCGCATCTCTCAGAGTAAAAAAAATTGATTTATTAGGAGTGACCATGTCGGCCTTATCTGGGTGCAACTGACACTAAGATACATCATTCATTTCCCACTTGACCCTGGTCTTCCCCCCACCCCCTGGATGTATATTCTCCAATGGAATACATCCACAGCCAACAGTCATCAATCAGTAATAATCTTGCATGCCAATAGCTTTGGCTGCCTAGCGATTATCTGAAGCATTTAAGGAATGCACTACCTTCCCCACTCCCTTTCTGCTGCCAACTAAAAAAGACCAAAGAAGTACTTTTTAGTTAACACTATGATTCCTCTGCTGCATTTAAATGAACTTGTGAGCTGTGAAGTTGAAATCCTGGCAGCAACCAGCCTCTTTCCTATATGGTTGTATCCAGTGGTGGGCTGCAACAGGTTTAACAGCTGGTTCTATGAGCATACGCTTTGTGTTCAAAAACCACCTATTTTAAGCTTAAAAATGTACCTTCTATGTCAGTGCTGGTAAATAAAACAGCTGAGGCCCGGCAATCCGCTGTGCCGCATGAATCAGCTGAGCTAAAAAAACAAGGAAATATAGGACAGGAAAGAGCAGGGGCGGGTGTCAACTCATAAGATATTTCTCTGGTCTTTTAGAGTTACCAACAGAAAGGGAAGGGGGTGTAGTGTAGCAGCTGCAAAACCGAAACTGCATTCCATGAATGTTTTCATAGATAGTTTCCAAAATTTCTGCCGTGCAAAACTCTAACTGGAGAGCATGATTGATGACTCTTGGCTATGGATGTGTCCCATTGGAGAATATGAATTACGATACACCCAGGGGGTGGGGGAAAACCAGGGTCAAGGGTGACAATGAATGATGTGCCTCAGAGTTGGCTACACCCAGGCAGCACCGGCATGTCTTCTCCTAATAAATCTTCGAGCTTTGAAAATCAGGCTAGAGACTCATGATTTAAATGTGGGTTACTAACAGAGCCCTGACAGCGGGTGTAGCTCACCAGAGCTACCAGTTCGCTAGAACCAGTGCGAACCGTCAACAGCCCACGACTGGTTGTTTCTGCAATCACACTGTGACTGTGAACACTGTGAAGCTTGAATAAAGACGGGACAGTGAGTGTCTGGAACATGGGAGAAGAAAGAGAGAGAAGAGATGGGATGAGGGAAAAAAATCCTGAGGGGCCATTCACAAGCTCTTCCTAGATGCAGCGTTGCAAATGAAAACATTAACTCTGTGGTGCTTTGAAATGCACTGGATCCGAGTCAAGAAATTAATCAGATTAACATCTCATCATCTCATTGTGTGGATTCAGTGGGAGGAGAAAGTTCGTGGCTGATCAGCTTGGCAAGTCCACCCTCATACACTACTAGCTCCGAAGTTCTCCAGACTGTCAGCGTTCCAACCAAACTCTCCATCCCTCAGAGACAAAGTCCATCCAAGTAAGAATGTATTAGAGAAGTCGTATTGGCACATCTGGGGAAAACCCGAATCCGAATTCCCACGTTTTCCCTTACTATACTAATCTCACGCCCAGCCCCCTTACTGATGACCCTCGAGTCACACTCTCCAATCCACCTCCATTTTGGACTCTCACCATGTCCAGTCACTTACCTCCAAACTCCAGCGACTCAACCTTGAGCTCTGAATGTTGTTGTGGCTATCCTCCTTTCTCACTTCATTCTCGTTCCCACAGTTACCCATCCTCCCTTGTGGCAGCCCCAAATCTGATTCAAGATGGATGACACAGACTAGGACAACAGCCTACATACAAAGGGAGACACCTGTTCTGACCAAGGCTTTCCAAGACCATAATTAAGCACATGCTTAGTTAAAACAACTCTTGTTTTATTTCAATGCTGGGAATTATCTTCATTACCAGCCAATAATGTATCCCAAACAGTCCCGTTGAGATAAGCACCCACCTTTCTTTCCTTTGAATCGCTGCCAACAGCTAGAGTGCCAAATGAATTATAAAAACCCAACTGAAGTACGAAGTCCACACAGAGCTTCAAGGATTAATCAAAACAGAACAAATGACTTTGCTTCCTACAAAGGTTTCTTCACCTTTGCCTGTCCTGTATACCTTATGGGAGAGGCAATCACCTCCAAGCCTTACTCCTGAGTTGCCCCTTTTGTCTTAGCTGCTGTCGCCTTCTAGCAGCTCTGCGCACACGCACACTGGGAACAGGCTCCCCTTGTTCCTCAGCCTCGCTGCTATCAGACTCCAGAGGCTCCGGAGTCAGCATCCCACTCCCAGATGGCCCATCTCTGTACTGGACACAGGACCCTCATCCAAGTCCTCTCCAGAATCCCAGACTGGTCCCCATTCTTCCCCACTGTCTGATTCTGCTGCCGTCTGCACTGGCTGCCAACGAACCAACAACAACAACTTTCTCTTTTCCTCCATTTGAAGGTTGACTATAGAAAGACTTCTTAGAAAGGCGGAAAGCTTTGGATGATGGAGATTGTGGCAAAATGATGCTTTTACTGAACTCCCACCCATGTTGCAATTGCCTTGGGACACAACCTCAATCCCTTTTTCTCTAGAGTGAACTGAAGCTGTGTGGAAATACACATATGCATTGATAAAACCCCTTCATTGTATTACACCAGGAGGGGAGAGAAAAGCATTTCCCCCGTAGCAAAACGTAAAGTAACTTTAATTGGCATTTTTCCAGGAGAACAGCAACAGCAAATTTCTCTGCCATTTCCCAAGGGCATAATCATAATACCGTGTTTCTCCAACAATACGGCCTCCACCAATAAGAAGGCCCAGCATGATTTCTAGGCATGAGGTGAAATTAAGCCCCACCCCCAAAATTTAGGCCTATTTAAACCATGCATTTCCCCGCCATTTCTCACATCGTTCGTTAGAACTACACGAGGTGAAGAGAAATGGGGGGGAAGGGCGGGGGTGGGTGGGGAGAAAACTTGCCTTTTGGAGTGCCCTGCAGGTAGCCTAGGCTAGAATACCCCGATCTACCGATAGAACATCAGCCGATAGAAGCTCCCTGAAGGCAGAGTCCCCAGCTGCTTCGGGGCAAGGCGTGGCTGCCCGTGTCCCCTTGCCATTAGGCAGTGTCTTTTGGGTGATGGAAGCTCCCCAAGAGTAGTCACCAGCCACTTCGATCAGCCGATAGAAGCGGCCTCGCGGCGAGAGGAGTGTTTGTGTGCGCTCGCCCCGAGGCCGCTTCTACCGGCTGATTGAAGTGGCTGGTGACTGCCCTTGGGGAGCTTCCATTGCCTGAAAGACACTGCCTAATGGCAAGGGGACACGGGTAGCCACGCCACGCCCCGAAGCGGCTGGGGACTATGCCTTCGGGGAGCTTTCGTCAGCCGATAGAAACAGCCTTGTGGAGAGGTACATGTGTATGGGCCACTCTGGGGGGGGGGGAGGAAATTAAGTCACCCCCAAAAAGATGGTCAAGCCATTTTTTCGGGGGTCAAAAAAAAATAAGGCCCGGCCTTATTTTGTGAGAAACACGGTAATATACAGGCTCCTTTTTAGCTACTTTGATTTCACTGCCACCAAATTCTTCTATCTATATGTTCATTGAAATATGGAGTTTCAGTAAAATGCTGATATCCTATTAAACATAACTTAAATCCTGAAGGCTGTTCAATTACAGCTCGGAATTAAATTAAAATTGGTGCCAGTTCTTGGCTGAAGGAGTTGTAATATATTATATATTAATATTAAGCCTCTGCATATACGTATTGACAGATGACAAAAAATAAATAAAGCTAGAGATTAAAGCTTCTTGGCTTCACATCTAGCAGAGCCTTAATTTAATTCATGAATTTAATTTCAATTATTTATCATACATTATTCAGCAAAGGTTGTTCAGCCCTCTATTTTTTTCTCTCCAAATACAGTCTATTTGAATTGCAACCTGAGGGAATTGCAATCTTTGCTCTAGATTAACTGACTTCTAATTAATGATGTTCTAGACTAAGCTTCCATTTTGTTGGTGATTGGGAAGGAGGTGGTTGTAGTCCCAAAGGCTTCTGAGGGCAGTAACTTGGAGAAATCCACTTTTACAAATAATAGTAAGATTTTGTTGCATTCCTAGCATCACGAATTCTAACCATCCTAATCCTAATTCAGATGACGTAGCTTTTTCCAATAAATGCCGTGGAAATTCAGTCACTTTATCTTCTCTTCCTATTTTCCCCTATTTTGAATAATTATTACTTTATTTTTCATAATATTACACTATAAAATTAAACAAGCAATAAGAAGGCATCAGCAAAATTATAACTGAAAGCTAGTGTTATCTACTGGTCAAGGGGCTGGACTAAAAACTGGGAGATGATGAGTTCTAGTTCTGCTTTAGGTACAACACAACTAGGTGCCCTTGGGCTAGGCACTTTCTTGCAACCCAGAGACCAAAAACTATAACTTTATAAGACAACCATACATGTTATACAAAATTGGACTATGGTGCAACAAAGAGATACTGGAAGCCATTGTTCTTTGTTGTCATCTAAACAGGCCTCTGGATTTCTGCAGTAGTTACATGGAGACCCACGTTAGTTAAGCAGGAAATTATAAATACTAGTAAAGAGCAAGTTTAGTGTTAAGTTTGGAGAATAAGGAGACCAGACATCTGACCAGTGACTTCAACTCTTTAATAATAGCAGTAATAGAATGGAACAGAGCAAACTCTATGGACAGCAGTAACCCTTTTATAGGGTTGGCTGCTGCCCTATTAACCAATAGTCTTTGTGATAAGTTCAAATAATAACCAATAAGAAGTGGCCTCATCCTGACCAATCCTCGTTCGTTGTTTGAGGACCAATCAGGTATGCAGGCCTTCAAAACCTACTTTGCATTTTATATTAGTTACTTTATTGATTCATAACATTTAGCATAGTGATTAAGGTACTGAGTTAGAAACTGGGAGATCATGAGTTCATGTCCTTGCTTAGGTAGGAACCCAGCTGTGTGTCCATAGGCCAGTCCCTCTCTCTCAGCCCTAGCAAGGAGGCACTTTTGAAATCTTGCCCAGCAAACCAGAAATCAAGATTGATTTGATGTAGATAATGTCGATAATTTGCCCCCAAAATACTTCCTCAAATCAGGGTTTTTAAATCACCTTGTTGTACTTGTTGAAATCAGGGATTTGAAAATGCTTCATTTGGGCTGATTGATGTGGTCTACTTATGCTAAAGCAGGAGGCGAGAGAAAGGAAGCCTGAATCCATGCATCATTCATAAAGCCTCAAACTATCAGGAAATTGGGAAGTAATTTTTTGAAGATGGTAGAAGATTTTTTTTTCCATTTATTTGAGGTCATTGCAAAGTTAGGGAGAAAAAACTTTAGAAAAAAATACATTACTGAAGAAAAGTGTCACAGAAAAAAGAAGAAAAACAGTCCTAGTAGAAGAAATATAATAAAAGCCCCCCCCCCTCAAAAAAGCTTAGAAATGTGTTCTTATTTAAATTTGATTGTCATTCTGGGTATGTGTATGTGTGTCCACCCTGTTGGAAGAATAAAATCTAGTCCCAGTTCCAAGCTGGGAATAAAATGGAGGCTGCTTAAGAAAGAAAGGCCCATTTATGGATGAACAGAACCAACACTCACACACAGCGTGCAGTTCTGGAACAGTTGAGAAAATGGAGTTGAGAGTGGATGGGTTTTATACCTTCTTGTTTCCTATGGGGTCAGGTAGGGGTCATGGCTGGCTCTACAGGCAAAGGGGGAAATGCAAATCCTAGGTGTTTGTCTGAGTTGAATCTTGTCAACCTTTGGCTTGCCCGATTGTGTTGCTTATCTGGAGTTTCTGTCTGACCCAGTCTTTCTGAATGGATTACCAAATCTACATTTCTAAAAGCTGGCCTCTTCAGTTTCTGCTTGGGGCAGGGAGATTTGGGGCTGGTTTCTGCTTCCCTTAAGATTTCTTCCCCCATTCTTCCTTTAGGGGAAATATTCTATCCTGCCTTTTTAATATCCCCCAAAATATTTCATTCTCTAGGAGGGTAGGTGGGGGCTGACTTTCTACAACCCCTGTGAGGAAATCTAAATCC